TATATATATAAATAACTATAAATATATGAAATATATATTTATAAGTAAATAGATATATATCAATATAAATATAATAATATATAAATATAACTTCATTATAAATATCAATATATATCAATATAAAGAATTATAGCAGACATATTGATATAAAAATAAATATAAAAGTCATTAATGGAAACACATAATAAAGAAAATATAAATAGTCCTTCATCCCTTGTTCAATTAATTAAAAAAATCAAATAAGATATATTTAGTCACTATCACTCTCGGTTAAGTAATTTGGAACTTCTTCTTCCGATGTTTTCGTTCCATCAAACTCTTCCTCTTCATCATCATCCTCACCCACACATTCTTTCTCTGCCACATATGGCAATTGCATGACCTCATTAATTGCCACTTGTTCTCCCCCTTGAGATGTTAGTGAAACATGATCATTTAAAACAGTCGAGGGTTGCACCAATTGTGGCATAGGAGGATCATCGTCTTGATAATAAACATTTCCACCATCACTTAATGATGAAGTGTCAATTATTGCTCTTGTTCTAATCTTACATGCAGCAAACCACCCTTTTCTACAAGGATTTTGAGATGGGTAACGAGCATAAAACACTTGTTGAGCTTGACTGGACAATATGAATGGTTCATCTGTTTGTAATTTAAACCGACAATTTATGTCAACTATACCAGATGTCAGATGTACCACAATGCTTTTGTTGATATCATACCACTCACAATTGAACAAAATCACTGATTGATGAACTTATAAGTCAAAATACTAAAGCTCAATTATTTCCTTCAAACTCCCATAATAATGTGACTCATCATTGAATGTGGTTCCCTTCACACAAACACCGCTATTCATGGTCTTTTTATTTTATCCATATGCGATAGTATGAAACCGGAATCCATTAACCTAATAACCATTGTATACCCTAACGTTATTGACTGGGCCAATTATTAAAGGCAAAAGGCGAGAATCAACTTCATATCTTCCACTATGCACCTAGATTTGTTATAAAAATATTTAATATTTAATCCTAAAATATATAAAAATTGAGATCTTACTAATAAAAATTATTAAAATAAATTACTTACCGTTGTCTTAAACCAAAGAATAAATTCAAGTTGCCGTTTGATTTCAATTTGATCCTCTAATAGACCGGAACATACTTGATAATCAAAAAGCCTACATGAAGAAGTTGGAGTAAATAATCTAAACATACTAGTAACTTAAACCAATGAAAGTTAGAACTAGAGAGCATACGCAATCCATGGATTAGCTTCTTCACAATTAAGCAAAACATAAAGTTCTGCTACCTTTAATTCTTTGGGTGACAGTGCACGCATACGCATTTCTCCACCTAGTGGTTGATCTCGATGTTTAAAGACAGACAAACAATTATCCATATCATCATTCACGCCGACAATGTTTCTTGGTTGATGATTCAATCTTGTCTCTATGTCAGATCCAAAATAATGCGAGAAAAAGAAAGTAATTTATAAAAGAATATTAGACTCGCAAATTGAAGCTGCAACACGATTTTTGTTCAACACTGTTTTCTTCAGGTCATGCATTTTTCTGTTAAACAAATAAGAAAATTAATTAATAACATTAAATTATTAAATATACTCATGAATGTTATTGTTATGCAAAGATATATTAGAAGAAATATATCTTTCAAAAGGATACATCCAACGAAATTCAACAGGTCCTCCAACTTTTACCTCATATGGTAGATAGATAGCCTAATGCTTCATCGAGTCAAAGAATGCTGGCGGGAATACTTTCTCTAGCTTACAAATGGTCTCAATAATTTTTTCCTCCCACATCTCCATGTTAATGACTTGAATAATCGGAGCAGTTAAAGCTCTAAAAAAGTTACTAATCTCAGTTAAGGGACCCCAAACTTTATCTATGAGGAAATCACGGAAAGCAATTGGCAAGAAACGCTGCATGAATACATGACAATCATGGCTTTTCATTCCAAACAATTGAAGTTCCTGCATGTTAACACATCGTGCTATGTTGGATGCATACCCATCTGGGAATCTCAATTCCTTTAGCCACTGACAGATAAGAGCTCATTGCTCTCGAGTAAGAACATATGTAGCATTGGGTTTTATAGCTGTTCCATCATCTTGAGGTATCAATTTTAATTCAAATCTATTGCAATACAGTTGTAAATCCAATCTAGCATTGGTGTTATCCTTCATACAACCCTTGTCATCCATGACAATATTTTTAATGTTATCTAAAAAATTCTTCTCACAATGTATGCATCAAGGTTATGACGAATCAATAAATCCTTCCAGTATGGCAATTCCCAAAATATACTACGTTTCACCCAATTATGAAAAAAACCAAATCCTGCAATTGAATGTTTACAAAGTGGTTGACCAAAGATTATGTTAAGGAGCTGATTAACCTTTTCTTCCATCAAAGTTCCATCTAGTCTGGGGGGGGGGACGGCTTTTTTCAACTCTATTGAGATAAAAAAATTTCTTATCTCTACGAAATGGATGTTTAGGAGGTAGAAATTGACGATGATAATAAAAAAATGATGTTTTCCTCCCATATTGAAGTTGAAAAGCCTTAGTGTTCTCCATGCAATAAGGGCATGACAACTTCCCATGTGTGCTCCATATAGATAACATGCCATAACCTGGAAAATCACTTATAGTCCATAGCAATGCAGCTTTCATGATAAAATTCTGTTGTCTGAAACTATCATAAGTTTCAACCCCATTTGTCCACAATTCCTTAAGTTTATCAATTAATGGCCTAAGCATGACATCAATGTTTTTTCTTAGACTTTTAGGTCCAACAATTATCATAGCAAGAAATATATGCTCTGACTTCATACACAATTCAAGAAGAAGGTTGTACATTATAAGAAAAATAGGCCAACAAGAGTAAGGTGTTGCAGAGCAACCAAATGGATTGAAACCATCTGTACAGAGGCCAAGTCTAACATTTCTAGGTTCATTAGAAAATGTTGGGTGGGTTTCATCAAAGTGTTTCCATGCCTCACTACCCGCAGGATGAATAACTTCATCCGCATCCTCACGGCATTTCAAATGCCATGTCATGTGCTCTGCTGTTTTCCTAAACATGTATAGTCGCTGCAATCTTGGGGTAATTGGAAGGTACCACAAAGATTTTCTTGGAACATCTTTCTGACTTATAGCAAACATATTCCTCGGCTCATAATGGGATTCTCCACACACTGGACAAGCAGCTAAATTCTTACTTTGCTCATCATAGTATAAGAAATAATCATTGACACAAATATCAATTTTCTTGTACCCAAATCCAAGCACATTTATCATTTTTTTGGCACTATAGAAATCCTTTGGCACCTTTTCTTGGTCCTCTAGACTCAACAACTTTCGACTCAATGATAATGCCATATCCTAATTAGTAGCACTCATATTATAAAGAGTTTTCATGTTTAGCATTTCTGCCATCCATGAAAGTACTGTAACATCCTGTCCCCCAACACCTATATGAACTTCTATAGCATGCAAGAAATCATAAAATTCTCTTGCCTTACTATTTGGCTACTCAATCATTGGCCCCTCAATCATTGGCCCCTCATTGTATTCAGACTGTGCACCCATTGCATCAACTACCATTTCATGGTATAATGCATCTACCTCATTTCTAACAAACTCCATGTTAGAAGATTCATCTTCAAAGTTTCTTACTGTATTGCTAGATGTCTCTCCATGAACATCATAAACCCATGCTTACACAAATGCACAAAGACAACCTCAGGATTCCCCCACTTTCTACATTTACATTTCGAACAAGGATACTTAATCTCTGATTTTGCTTTTGGTCTTGAAAATGTAAATCTCACAAAAAATTGCACCCCCTCTTTAAATTCATCGGTAACAAAACCACTATCATCTACACGATGATCTATCCAACTACGGTCGTCCATCATTTAATTACCTAATTTGAATTTCAATTTGACAAAGTATATTAACATATCAACTAATAATCAGACATGTCAATAACCACACATGTTAATTTTAATCTTAATAATTTTAAATTAAATTTCTTTATGTATATAAATTTAATATA